CTTTCTAAATGTCACACACACACACTTTCCACAGACGCATGAGGAAGGATGGTGCATAAATTAACATACATTTGCATAACACAATACAGCTGTTAATTTATGAGCACAGGAAAGCTACAAAGTTTTGAAGTTTGAGGCTTTTACAATTCTTAATCTTTGGATGTGTTCCCACCTGTTGAAGATGCAGGTGAGGTGCTGACGTATTCAAAAACTTAGATAAACAACACATGACTTTAAGTGTATCTCACGCAGTATTTGAGACACCCTGGAACTGAAAAAGTGGAGGTTGCTTATTCTAACAGCAAACTGAACTAAGTGCCTGTGTTTTTATTTGCTAATTCTGGCAACTTCTATACAGGTGGACCTCAGAGATACCACTGGTTTGCTTTCAGATAATTGCAAAAAATAGACTGTAACAGTAAACCCAGTAGAGAAATAAAGCCAGGGCTGCAATAAAGCGAGTCGCAGGCCTTTTACTTTGCAGCACAGATCAAAGTCAAGCCGACATGATGCTATAGTCCATCAAGTATGTACCTGCCTGACGGAAAGTCTAAATGTCGTATCAGCACGGTGTGACGCACGGACAGGAAGGGAGGTCGGACTGCTGGGGAAAGGCGCCGACAGCCCTGCCCAGGACACGGGTGCTGCAAACTTCAAAGTGTAAGGAGCAGAGAGGCCTTAGGTGCGGTGGTTGAAGCACTCGCTTCACCGTCTGGAACTCACCTTTGCTCCACGCAAGAGAAGTGGAAATCTGCTTTGGATGGCAGCCTTGGAAACGCTACGGGGAGGGCCACTCTGTCCTGTGTGGTCACTAAGAGTCACAAGTGACTCACGGCTGTGGGTTTGGTGTGGACTGAACTCCCTAGCGGCTAGGTGCTGGAAAGACGTGGACCACGGGGCCTTGGTAACTTTCTGTTGGGGTCTGTACTTGAACTCACTGTTGTAGTCGCTGGGTCAGTCCAGCGCGTTGAGTCTTCCTCTTTCTCTGATTTTCTACATTACCGAGTGTGGTGTCCCTCTGCAGGGACTGGTCCCTTCTAACAACAAACCGGCCGTGTATGAGGTGGAATCTCACCATCCCTGTCTATGGAACATTCCATCTGCACCTCCTCCGGGACAGAGCTGCTCCATGCTCTGACCATCCGTGGTAGATTCAATATTCTTCATCAACCCCACAAACCAAAGGCATCAGTCCTTCGGGGTCGTCCTTATTCATCGTCCAATTTTCACACGCATCTCAAGTGTCTGAAAATGCCACGGCCTGGGTCAGGTGCACCCCAGTCCTCAGGGGGTCGTCCTTGCTCTTCAGAGGTGCTTTCCAGCAGATCTGCCTGTTCCGATGCATCTTGGGAGTTCCCAACTATGGCTTCTCCTTAGCTCAAGATGAGGTCGTTTCCTGGGTTTGCCCTCACAGAACAGCACAGGCCGCAAGGCTCCAGCCAACAGAAATTCAGCTCCTGCCTGCTGCCCAAGCTCTCTCCGGGCTCTGCACAGCTCCAGCCCCGAGTCCCTGGGGGTCTGTGCACACCTGTGTCCCCAGGTCCACGTGAGGATGGTGGTGAGTGCTCCTGTCTCGACGGCACCACACTCCCTTCCTACCTCTTCCCCTCACCTGGGCGGTACTGGAATCTACCTCCAGCTGCCTTGTCAGGTGGGCCTGTGCTGCCAGACAGAACTGTGAAGCCCCAGCCTGAGCCTGTGGCCCTCCTGGGACTGCCCTCTGTGGTGACAGGTACAGCAAGGCGCCTGTATGTGTCCACAGGTATCACAGACTGGCAGGACTGGTGACAAGCCAGCAGGGTCCCTAAGATTCTGGCACACAAGCCCTGCCCGTAATTAACATGCTGCCCCCACCTTGTCATTAAGTGCCACTGAGTCGAGTACAACACACAGCAACCGTGTGAGCATCAGGCCTGAGCCCTGTCCTGCCCTGTGCCATCCTTGTCATCCCTGACACGCCTCGACCCATTTGCTGTACTCGTGTCAATCTGTCTTGTTGAGGGTGTCCCTCTTCTCCACCATCTTTCCAAGCATGGCGTCCCTCTCCAGGAAATAAGTCCTCCTAACAACATGCCCAAAATATGTGAGATGAAGCTTTGTCCTCTTCGCCACCACAGAGCCCTCTGGCTGAACTTTCTTCCAGACATTTCCTGTTTGTTCTTTCGACAGTCCGTGGATGTTCAGTGCTCTTCTCTGATGCCACTACTCAAAGGCATCAATTGTTCTTCTGTCTCCTGTATTCATTGTCTAGCTCTCAGATGCAAAGGTGATTCGAAAGGCCATGGCTTGAAGGCCACACCTTAGTCTTCAAACTGACATCGTTGCTCCTCAGTACTTTGGAGAGGTCCCTCACAGCCGACCTTCCAAAGGCAGTACGTCTCCTGATCTCCTGACTGCTGGTACCAAGGGTGTTGATGGTGGATCCAAGTAAGATGAAAATCATTGACAATTTCAATCTTTTCTCCACTTATGATGCTGCCTATCAGCCCTCCACGTTGGTGCTAGGAAAACGGAGGGCCAGTGAAAGAGAGGAGACTGTCAAGGATGTGGGCTCACAGTGACCACGACAATGGCCTTGAGTATGCAGAATGTGAGGACGGTATCAGACAGGGTAAGGGTCCTATCTGGTCATAGGGTCACTGGGTCATAGTTGACTTCATGGCACCTACATCACCACCACCTGCATGGGGCAAGAGGGGAGAGGACAGAATGGGACTGCACTAAAGCCCTGCTGATCACAGCCGATGGCCACCTGCCAGCAGCTTTCAGAGCTGGACATCTTCCCGGGAGGACACTGTCCATCTTTATCCCAAGAACTGCTCATCAGTTCAGACTGGTGGAGCCTCTCGGGCTTTGGGCAGAAGCGCACTCACAGTAGACTCTGCCACTAAGCCTCATGCAACCCCTCAGCCCACCCTCCCCCGTCCAGCCTCGGGTGGCCACCAGTCAGCTCCCTGTGTCTGTTCGCTGGGCCGGTCCAGCGATCTTGCCCCTTTCTGGCCCTCCATGGTGTGGCCACCAGGACTTCAGTTCTCGTCATGGCACAGGGACATCCCACTGGACACAAGGACCATGCTGGGCCCCTTTCTGTTCATGGTTATCACTGGCCTCCCCATTCTGGTCCAGCAGTCAACACTGGGCCCTCTGTCCCCTGACCACATAGATGCAGCTGACTCCCCAGCAGCTGTTGAAATCTGATGGCACAGATAGAAAAGAACACACTCCTGTTGAAAGATTGCCCAAAACCTTCCACCAGCAGTCATCTGGTGTCACCCCGCTGGCAGTGTCCCCTGGAGTGGCCAGTACCACACAGCCTTCCTGGATGATGAAGCTCATGTCCAGTTTGTACATTTTGGAGACCGAGCTTGGCCCTCTCGCTCTGACCTTTGAAAGGGCTGAGCACTGGGGACCTTGAGACAAGCTAGAAACGACAGCCAAAGTCCAGGGCATCACAGTGGCCGTCCCCATCTAACCAGCAAATCCCAGGCCGGTGGCTGGTTCATCCCAAATGACGTCCAGTGCCTCAGAACTGCAGGCCAGCCAAAGGCTCCGTGGACTCTCGGAGCAGACGGAAGGGATTCAACCTCCCTGAAGAGAGTTGCTCTGTTATGGACTCCCGGCCGAGGGGCTTGATCAGTGGATGGAAGGAGTTCTGCGGGAGGGTGGCCATTCTGAGGGGGCTCTGGACGGCCCACTGTTATAAACATCCAGGCCGCAGAGGGCACACTCCTGGGCTTTTCCAGAACATTCCCATGACCAGCAGGACCAGCTCAGAGCAAGGTCATCAGGGGAGCAGGCAGGAAGCAGGCAACAGGGTCACATCTTTCAGACGGAGTGGACACAGATAAAGGCCCGGGCTTAGAGCACTTGCTGTTTACCACTTCCTGGCAGTGTGTGACCCTGTGTACAATCAACAGGATGGTCAGTGAGAGTCTGAACGATGCTGTGTGGAGGCAGGGGAGAGAGCTGGTCACTGTCCCCGTCCTGTGACCCCCGAGCAGGGCCTGGCTTTTTCAGGCTTGCTGTGCAGAGTTCAGGCTCCTCAGAGTCCTTGACACGACGGCGAAGCTGCTCTCTCTGGCCTCATGCGCACTGGGCTGGGCTCAGCTCCCCCGGCGAGCAGTTACCCTCCGTCCTGCAGGGTCAGTGGACAGCTGCGGGCCTGATGAACACAGGCTTGGAGCTGGCTGGCCTCTCGCAGGGCCACCGTTTGTCAGGCGCATGCTGCCCCCTCCTGGCGGCCTGGTTTCTCTGGAAGCAGAAGCTGGACAGGACTGGGAGCCCACAGGTGTGCAGAGGTCTGAGCGGGACATCTCACCTGGGTAGGTGACAACAAAGGGCAAGCTGTCCTCCCCGAGGGGGCACAGGCCACACCTGTCAGTCAGGACCAGGGGCCAGGCGTGTGGTCACTAGGAACAGCTGCCCTTTGGCCCCAGAGACAGTCAGTCTGAGGCCAGGCAGCTTGATACACATATATGAAGGGAACCTTGCTAGGCTGAGCTGGGAAGCGCTGGGCTGACAGTGGGTGAGTGGCTTGACTCCTGAAGAGATCGGAGTCCCAGCAGAACAAAGGAGGGTCACTGTGTGAGAGGGTCCGGAGTGGCAGGCAGTTTGGCTTGGTTTTGAACAGCAGCCTGGTGGCACAGTGGTGGCCTCACAGAACAGAGTAGAATGCCCCCCACCCCACCTCAGCGTTTCCAAGGCTGTGGTTACTTACAGAAGCAGACCACCTCGTCTCTCTCCTTGGAGCAATTGGTGGCTTTGAACTGCCAAGCTTTCAGTAAGCAGCCAAGCACTGAAGTATTATGCCACCATGCTGCACCCAGAGACCCTCAGCCTCGCTCTGAAGGGGGAGATGGCTCTGATGTTATTTGGAACAGGGCTTCTTCTCATCTTGAGAATTCCCCTGCCATGCTGGCTGAAGATGGAGGTGGAACAGAGACCATGGCGTAAGGCTTGGTCCAACCTGGTGCTCCTCCTCTGTGCCCTCCCTCTGCCAGGCCGTCCCTGAGTACAGCAGCCTCCACGAAGACCTGCCCTACCTGGACATGGTGGTTGCGGAGACCCTGAGGCTTTACCCACCAGCTTTCAGGTAGGCCTTAACCTCTGAACCCGCAGCATCACCTGTCCTCCACTGGTACCCCCAGCAGAGACCTCACAAACAGAGGACTCCAACCTCAAAGGAGGGAGTGTGTCCTGGGTTCTCAGATCCCCAGAGCACCAGGCATTGGGCTGAGATCTCGGGTTACCGCTGCTCGACTGCCTTTTTTACTTCCTAGCTTTTTTGCTTTAACCAACAGAAATCTCTCCTCTCACGGTTTTGTTGTTGTTGTGTGCCACTGGGTGAGAACTGACCCTTAGCTGACCCTCCAGTGGGTTTTCAGAGGCAGTAAATCACACAGGAGAAGACTGCCCATCTTTCTCCTGCAAAGCAGCTGGAGGATTAAAACTGGGCCGTTGGGATTGCAGCTCAGCTTCTCACCGCTAGGCCTCGAGCTCCCTCCTGGGAAGTCTGAGTTCAGGGTGCAGCTCTGAGGAAAACCTTTCTCCCTGTGGAGAAATGTCCTCATCTCCCATCAACATCTGTGGGCCTGTGCCCCTTACAGATCTCCATGTGTCTTGTCACCAAGCTTTCCCTGGGCCTAGGAGATCCTCAGCACAGGGACCCTGGGTCTGAAGGACATGCCCCATTCTCAGCCTTTCTTTCTTGGTGGCAGAAGGTCCCTCACTGGCCTTTTCTTGGCATGGCCTTTGTCCCCAACCTAAGCCATCTCGTCAGTCTTCCAACCTGCCCTGTTCATTCACTCGCTCACCACCCCTATGCCATCCACCCCTCTCTAAGTGTCTCTATGGATATGTTACTTCTGTTCTGTGATGGGACATATCTCAGCACCTCTAACTTCTCACCTGCAGACTGTCACAGCAACTTGTAAATCCAGAGAGCAGTGGGAGTGTCTGAGGTGCACACAGAGCGGGTGGTCTTACCCTGGATCCTGGACGCCTGTAGAGTAAAGCAATGCCTAGATTCCAGGTTCTAGAAACAGAACCAGCACAAAGCATTTGACCATTGGCATGGATTATTCTAGAAACAGAACACAAGCTTTTAACTGTTCTTGTGAGTAGAGTCGGAATGGTCCTTAGAAGGAAGGATAGGGAGTTAAAGAGGAAACGCCCTGTGAGATGGACAGGCAGGGGTGTGACGAGGGCTCCACCATAAGCAGCACTGGCGAGGCGGTGTGGGGAGGGATGGTTTGGTGCAGAGGCGTGTAAACAGCTCTGGCCAGAGCACACGAGAAGCTTCAGAAAGGAAATGCAGGTAGGGGTTCAGCCTTTCCGTAGATTTGTATGCATAAAGCTGAATTTACCAAAGTGCTTTTGTTATTACAACTAACTACACGCATCTTTTCATTTTAAAAAGAATGTACTTTTTGATGAAACACTGCACAAAGGTTTTTGAAATGGTCATTTTAGTGTCCATCGGACCATGTCACCACAGTCAGGTCTGGTGAAAGCACTGTCTTGAAGCCCTACCCCCTGTGAAGAACTTGCAAGATCACTTTCCTGTGTAATTATTTTGTTGTTCTATGTAATTTTAGTTTTATTTACATTCTTTTCATTTTGTTTATTTGCTTTATTTTATTGTTAGAAACTTTCCTGCTCCTCCCACAGGCCTGGGTTTGCCTGACTGACCTTTGTCCGCAGAGGAGGCCGGAGCACTTTCTGTGCAAGTGTTGTTGTTCTTGTTGTTAAGGTGCCATCTAGTTGAGTATGACCCATGGTGACCCTGTGGACACCTGACCCCTGCCCCATCCTGTGCCGTCCTCTTCATCTGACACACTCGAGCCCTCTGCAGTCACTGCGTCTATCATCTTGTTAAGGGTCTTCCTCTCTTTCACTGACCCTCCACCTTTCCAAGCATGATGTCCCTCTCCAAGGAAGAGCTCTCCTGGCAACACACCTGAAATGCCTGAAGCATGTGAGAGAGACAAAGCTTTGTCATCTTTACCTCCAAGAAGCTGTCTGGCTGCACTTTCTCCAATTCCTATCTGTGCTTTCGGCAACCCAGGGGACAGTCAGTACTCTTCTCCAACGCCACACCTCAAAGCATCAATTCTTCTGTCATCCTTATTCATTGTTCAGCTCAGAGGCAGAGCAAGTGATTGAAAAGACCATGGCCTGACAGGTGCACTTTAGTCTTCAAACCTCCATCATTCATTGCTCTTTAGTGTTTTGGAAATGTCCTGACAATGGACTTGCCCACTGCAATGCATCTGATCTCCTGACTGCTGGTACCAAGAGTGTTGGCTGTGGACCCAGGGAAGATTCAATCACTGACGGTATCAGTCCTTCCCCATATATCGTGATGTTGCCTAGTGGTGAGGACCTTTTGCTTTCTTGATGTCGAGAGATAATTCATATTGAAGGCTGCAGTCCTTGATCTTCTGCAGCAAGCGTTTCAGAGCCTCTTCATTTTAGGCAAGCAAGGATGCAATTGGTTAATCAGGCATCTATACCGTGTGGTTTGGTCAGCTGAGTCCCACTTGGCACCCTCTCCTGAGCTGTAAGACCAACCCCTCAAAGGTGGCAGGCCCTAGTCCATGGGCACCTCCTGCTCCAGGGTCCAGCCTGGCCACACCACCCCTGCAGATGAAAACCTTCCACCCTCAGCTCAGCTGATGGCTGTAGTACCATGTGCTCTGCACATGTCTGAACAGGGTCCCTCCACCCTGTACCCTCTGGTATGTCAGAGGCTCATCAGAGGAGGCAGCAGGTACCAGATTCTCAGAAGCTGAGGTAGGGTAACGAGTGATCAGCATTGTATCTATCCCACTGGGAGATACACAGAAGAACCCCTGCCCCACGGCTAGAAGTGAAAGTGCACATGGGTGAGCTTTAAATATCTGTTACAAATCTAGGGCCCTGGTGGTCCAGTCAGCAGGAAGCTACAGCCCCAAACTAAAACCGCATGGTCCAAATGCAGCTGCTTTGCTGGAGACGGGCTGTCTCCTCTCCTGAGATACAGCCTCTGAAAACCTGCTGGAAGACAGCTGTGGGTCAGTTCTCACCTGACGGCAATGAGTAAAAACCCTGACATGTCATTAATAACAAAAGCAAAAAGCCTACATGTAAACACATCAATTGAGTTGATTCTGCCCCAATAAGCCACGTGCATCAGAGCAGACCGCTCTGCCGCATTCAAGGTCATGATCTATAGGAAGCTGATCACCAGGACATGTCTCCCCAGGCACCTCTGGGTGGATTCAAACCACCAACCTTTGCAATTCCTATTGATGGCTTAACCCTCTGCACCACTCAGGGATTCCCCGACATCAACCCAGCTTACTGCCAGCAGGGCCACTCGGGTTCACGGCTACTGTGGGGCAGAGCAGGGCAGCCCCAGATGGCCTCCAAGGCTCTGTTCTCACTGCTCTCCATGGAACAGCTGGGGGGTTCGAACCACCCTACTCTCAGCAGTCCAACACTTAACCCGCTACACTACCAGCGCTGGGGCCAAAGTGACCGCTGGCCTGGCCCCTGTCCACGCTGGCCCGGCAGCCTCACTCCTGCCTCTCCTCAGGTTCACCAGGGAGGCAGCGAAGGACTCGGAGCTCCTGGGCCAGCGCATCCCCGCAGGTGCTGTGCTGGAGGTGGCCGTGGGTGCCCTGCACCATGACCCCGAGCACTGGCCGCAGCCCGAGGTCTTTGACCCTGAGAGGTGAGTGTCCCTTGATGGCCTGGGGGATGGATGTTGGCAGGTACAGTGAAGTGGGGTGGGGAGTGGGGTCACCTGGTGGCCTCTGTCATGAAATGAGTGCAGAGTCCCATCCGCACCCACCTGGGCGCACACACTCATGGTGGAGCCTCCCAATTCAGACCACGGTCACCTAGCTGTGAAGCTGTCCGTGGCTGCAGGTGGACCCACTCATACCTGAGGTCCAGAACAGCTACCCGGCATGGTGGGTGGAGCATGGGGCAGCAGTGACGCCTCACCTCCACGCCTCTGCCCAGCGCTAGCTACACCTGCTTCACAGTAGACACGGGAGGCCCCAGGCCCAGCAGGAGTGGCCACTAGGAGGTGCAGAGGAGGAAGGGGCAGTGGTACCATCTCACTGGAGCAAACCTTGGGGTCCAACTTGAGGAGTGAGCTCATCAAAGCATGCTGAGCCCAGGGGACACCCCGAGAGTCTGAGGCTTCACAGAGCAGGTGAACAGCCAGCAAATGACATGGGTCCCCCAGGCCCCACCCCTGATGAAGGCAGGGGGTGAGGAGTGTTGGGGGGGGTGAGCGGCAGGGGTCACCCACCTGATGAGAGCTGATGGCCAGATGGGATACATCAGAGTGCATCAGGAGTGGGTGTCTGGTCAACCTCAGTGTCCCAACTCCCCTGCCCCCGCCCCCCAGGTTTACAGCTGAGGCCCGGAGGCAGCACCGACCTTTCACCTACCTGCCCTTTGGGGCAGGCCCTCGAAGCTGCCTCGGGGTGCGCCTGGGGCTCCTGGAGATCAAGCTGACGCTGCTCCGTGTACTTCGTACCTTCAGGTTCCAGGCCTGCACTGAGACCCAGGTGAGGCCTACCCTGGGGGCCCGTTTCTGGGGGTCTCACTCCTGGGTGGGGCCTGCTACCTGGAGGCCCACTTCCTGGGGGTGGCTCCGTTTCTGGGAGCGCTCCACTCCTGGACAGCTTGTTTCTCAGGGGAAACTCTTGGGAGAATTGGCGCTTAGGGGACCCTGCTCCAGGGGGCAATTCCTTGGAAGGGGACATCATGCTGAGGAAGCTGGAGGGTCAGCGAAAGAGGGGAGACCCTCAACGAGAGGGCCTGTCAGTGGCTGCAGCATCAGGCTCAGTTATGTCAGAGACGACGAGGACGGCACAGGACAGGACAGAGTTCAGGTCTGTTAACTGAATCACTCTGTGGTGCTTGAAGACACAACAACTACTACTCCTGGGGGACCCCACTTCTGAAGGGTCACCCTGGTTCTCTGACATGCAGCCTGCGAGAACTATACCATGCTGTAGAAGGGGGTGTTAACCATAGCCCCCCACCTCCTCTCTGCATGAGTTCATGTGGGTGTGCACCAGAGCCCTGGGCGTGCTAGCTGCTGGGAAGGGGGTTCCCCCTCTTCGGCATCTCTCTGATCTTATCTATTGTGGGTTTGGCCTGTGGTCCAGATCCACCCTGTGAGATCACGGACTTTGTGGGGGCTCCTGAGCTTCTTGGAGTCTCCACCATGAGTGCCGGCCCGGTCAGGTGGCATCATCCTCAAATGGCTAGAGCCTGCCATTGGGGTGCTGAGTCCTCACTGTCACCCAAATGTGTGTCCACCCTGTAGTAGGGCCCACCTCTCACCAAGTCCCCACACTGCCCCCAAGTCCCTGGGGACAGTCACCAGGGCCATCGCTTCTCCCAGTCCACAGCCATCTATGGAGAATTGTCACTCCCATTATCCGTGGGGAGCCAGGGCTTGGAGAGAGGACAATCTGAGGGCTCTGCAGCAGGTTCCCGATGTGGTCACGTTTGGACCACTCACATTAGCAGATGCCACGTGGAAACGGAGCTCACTCATGTGCCCCACGTCCTAACCCCTCTTCACCACCCCCTCCAAGAAGCCCTGACTGCCAGCCCTCCTTTCACGGTGCCACTTCAAGGTCATCTTCACCTGTGCAAATACAGCCAACACCAACCATGTATGGCTACTCAAAATTTAAACAAAATGCACTGATGTTGTTGTAATTAATTCAGTCATTAATAACATGTACTAATTAAAGAAGCTAAAAATCTCCCATGGCAAACATAGATAGGGAGCTGCAGCACCCTACTTCCAAACCCCTCAGAAAGGGGCCATGGCTCATGGGCAGGATCCCCGCTGGCAGAGAGGCCCCTGGGCTCTGCTGCCCAGGCAGCTCAGGAAAGGCAGAACCTGTCCAGTGACCGGCCACCACCCCCACCTGGGCACAGGAGGGCTGCCCTGGCGGCCTCTGCAGGGAGTCCAGGTCCTACCAGGGTGGGCCCGCAGCCCAGTGCCCACAAGTCCTGCAGAGGTGGCCCAGTGCCCACAAGTCCTGCAGAGGTGGCCCAGTGCCCACAGGTCCCGATGGGGGTGGTCTCTCAGGCCCAATGTCCACAGGTCCCGGTGGGGGTGGTCCTTGGCCCCAGTGCCCACGGGTCCCGGTGGGGGTGGTCCCTCGGCCCCAGTTCCCCCCTCGGCCCCAGTGCCCACGGGTCCCGATGGGGGGTGGTCCCTCGGCCCCAGTTCCCCCCTCGGCCCCAGTGCCCACGGGTCCCGATGGGGGGTGGTCCCTCGGCCCCAGTTCTCCCCTCGGCCCCAGTGCCCACGGGTCCCGGTGGGGGTGGTCCCTCGGCCCCAGTGCCCATGGTCCTGCATTGACCCCACTCCCAGGTGCACAGCCAGGTTTCAAGCACCTCAGATCTCACGTGCTTTTCAGGTCCCACTACAGCTGGAGTCCACATCCGCCCTGGCCCCCAAACACGGTGTCTACATCAAGATCGCTCCCCGCTGACCAAAGAGGCTCCCTTGGGGGACAGTGCCTCCACACCTGCAAGGCTGTCCACATGGACACCCCGTCTCCACAGAGCACTGCACGAAAATCCAGGGCACAGCTAGCACTGGCCGGCGGGGAAAGGGCGTGGGAGAGCCTGGCATTCACCCGGCGGCCTCAGCTGCATAATAAAAATCTGCTCTTGAACTTGCCGGTGACTGTCAGCTCTTTCAGCCACTGACCCAAGCCTAGAGGACAGCTGACAATAAGTGACAGGGGATTAGATAAGCCACTGGGAACAGGAAGTGTGGAGGGGCAGGGCAGGGACGGGGACACCCTGCAGTGCCCATCACACTAGCCAGTAGCCTCTCCTGACAGGAAGCATGTGTCCCAGGGGACACCACCCGCGGAAGCACCTAGAACGTCACAGTGAGCTTCTCCAGGGCTGAGCCAACTCCAGACGCCAAGGTGCAGAGACGGCTCAGGTGAAACTCTGCCCTCTCAGCGACCTTGACCACATCCATTCTGCTCAGAGTCCAAACACAGGCAGCCTGAGTAAGAGTGATGGTCGAGTGCTGCGTGGCTCAGGCCAGCAAACCCTCCCCCAGCTGAAAGCCCCCTTGGCCACCAGCAGCCAAGGGACGGTGGTTGCTGGCCGCCTCTGTGAGTGGCTTCTTGGTGTCTCCACCTGTAAAACGAGGCTGCTGTCCAAGATCCAACTTGTTAGGTTTCCTGGAGCGGGGTCTGACCCAGCTGCCCCAGGAACAGTAGATCTGAATGCTGCCCCGTCGGCGCCATCCCCACCAGCCGTTACACTGGAGCCAGTGTTAGACACTGGCCATCCATCCTGTTGAGGGTCTCCCCCTTAGCTCGCCCTCCGTGTTCCCTAGAAGTATGTCTTCTTCCAAGGACTGATCCCTCCTGACTTTCAAAGTGAGACCAAGTTTCAGCACCTTGCCTCTACGCACCTGCTGTTGGGGGACCTCGGAGCCACCCCACCGTGTGAGGCACAGAGTCTGACTTCTCCCTGAGAAACACTTGAATGTGCTCTGCTGGGAACCCAGCCTGCGCAGCTGAGGGGGGACCCGGCCCTGTCCCAACCTCTCCTTGCAGGGCCTCCCCACCTGTACCCCCATCCCCAGAGACCACAAAGTGTGGCACACACCAACAGCCTCCACCCCACTCCCACCACCCTCCGGCTGGGTGTGGATTTACAGGGCCAGCGGCAGATGATTCGGAGCCAGAACAGCAGAGCCCAGTGCCTCTGCACATGTGACCAGCCCCACGGGGTGTGGGCATCTGGCCGGGCCCCTGAAGGCTGTGAGGAGGGCTCCCCCTCCAAGAGGAAGAGGCCCCACAGAGGGCCCCCCCTGGAGGCTTGCAGCATCACAGGCTCTCCACACATCCCACCAGCTCCACCATGTCACCCAGACGCTGAAGGACCACTCGGCCCGTGTCTTGTCAGTTTTTTATTTCCAGGCCTCTGTGACATCTGAAGCAGAGAATCCAGTGTCCTGGGACAGAGCCCATGCTCGGGGGGCCTCGAGGCTGCCAGAGCATGCAGCCACCTTCAGACTATGCTGGGCCGGCCGGCAACCCAGGACCAGACACCCTGACAGACATCAAGTGCACCCCACAGCCTCGCAAGTTCTCGGGGCCCAGTGACAACCGTGTTATACAATAAGCTGTTGCCACGGAGGCCCAGGACTGCAGTTGACAGAAATCCTCGAGGCTAAAACCAATGCAGGAAAGCATCTGTGGGGTTTGCACCTGAGGGGCAACAAAGCCAACAGAGTAAAACAAACAAACAATTTAAAACAGTCTTTAAAAGAAGAGCTGGGCTCCCAGCCTGCAGGCTCCGACGGGAGGCCGGGCAAGGGCACAGGCGGAGACCCCCGAGGTAAGAGCACTAAGAGAGAAGAATACTGCTTCACTGGAAGTCAGCACCCAACAGTTCATTAAAAGCTTGGTTTAAAAAATATATAGAAGCAAAATCCCCACACCCGTCAGGGAGACCCTCAGCTGCTGAACCACCCCCAGAAGCCCACACACACGTGGCCCAAGGTGGAGGTGTAGGCCAAAGCAGAGGCCGAGGCAGTGGTCTCGGGCATGTGGTCAGCCCTGTACTGGATGAGATACTCAGGGTAGACCTGGTGCTTCTCAAAGATCACGAAAATGGATGGGTCGAGCACGCTGTTGACACAGCTGTCGTAGAAGATAGCGCCCTGGCCCTCCTTGGTCGGGGGGCGGACAAAGGAGCAGTGCCCGCGGGTGAATTCGCCCACCAGCACTCGGGCCAGGAACATCGCATGGTTCTGAGAGGTAGACTCACAGTAGTGATGGGAGTAGGCGGCATCGCGGGCAAAGTAGCTTCCTGGAAGGACGTGGTGCTCAGGCCAAGGTGGGGCCGCCCCTCAACTCCACTTCTCCACTCCTCCCACCCCACCAACCCAAACACACCCCTCACCCCCACCCACTCCCCCCACCAGCCCCAAACACCACCCCTACCCCCTCTCACTCCCACACCCCCATCCTTACCTGACCCCCACCCCCCACCATGCAGACCTGTCCAGCGGGCAGTGGTCCCTGGCTCCCCCCCACCACCACAGGCCTATACCCAGTGGGCAGTGGTCCCCAGCTCCAGCCTGCAGCCCTCACCCTTGCCATAGGAGGTGCCATGGAGCCCACACACGCGCCAGTCGAAGTTCTGCTGGCAGATGGCGTCCACCAAGGCGGAGCTGGTGCCGTGGAAGAGCTGCCGCTCGTCCACCTTCCCGTCCCAGCGCTGCTTCTGCATCTGACCCTTCTGCCTGGAGTCCGAGAGAAGAGGGTGGACAGAGGGCTCACTGCCCCACAGCCCCACCACTGTCCCCACAGCCCCACCACTGTCCCCACAGCCCCACCACTGTCCCCACAGCCCCACCACTGTCCGCACAGCGCCAACACTGTCCCCACAGCCCCAACACTGTCCCCACAGCCCCAACACTGCCCCCACAGCCCCAACACTGTCCCCACAGCCCCAACACTGCCCCCCACAGCGCCAACACTGCCCCCACAGCCAGCAGGGTGAGCTGTGGTGGGGCTGCATGGAGGGTGGGGGAGAAGACCACCCCAGGACAGAGAAATGTGTCACAACCCCATGGCAGTTTGTGGAACAACAAGGAAATCTATGCCCCAACATTAGGGCCTTTGTTCTCTGAACCCCAAAGTACCAGCTTGCTGACAGATTTTGGGGAGTCCTCCAGCCCCACCACTAAGCAGGCGGGTCACTGGTAAGGGGAGACCTGGGGAACATGGTCTCCTCTGTGGGGAAAGATGGGCTCCCATCCTGGGGGTGTCCCTCCCAAGGGGACTAGGCAACCTGCTGGACAGGCCTCAGACATGAGTGCAGGTGAGCTCTGCAGACCTGTGAGCTGCACGGTGGCTGGGCAGAAAGGACCCCCTGGTCTCCAGGATGACCGGACTGTTACCAGGAACCAGGCACCTCAGGCCCCACGGTCCAGAGTGTGTGCAAGTGTGCACATATGAGAGGGAGAGAGGAAGAGTGAGAGAGAGAAGGGGGAGGGAGAGAGAGGAAGAGTGGGGGGAAGAGGGAGAGAGAGAGAGAAGGGGGAGGGAGAGAGCAGGGAGAGAGAGAGAGAAGGGAGAGAGAGGAAGAGTGTTAGAGAGAAGGGGGAGGGAGAGAGACGAAGAGTGGGGGGAAGAGGGAGAGAGAGAATGAGTGAGAGAGAAGGGGGAGGGAGAGAGGGATAAAGAGAGCGCACGTGTGCTCACATGAGCTTGTGCTGGCACAGATAGACACATGTACACACACGTGAGGGGGTGTGTGTGCACATGTGTGAGAACCTGTGAGTGTTCACACAAACCCATGCTGGCACAGACCAGACACGTGTGCACATGAGTGTGCATGTGCTCACACGAGCTCATGCTGGCACAGACAAGTGTACACACACGAGGGGTGTGTGTGTACATGTGTGAGAATGTGTGTCCACACAAGCTCGTGCTGGCAGACCAGTATACACACGTGTGTGCATGTGAGGGCTGTGAGAGAAAGTGTGTACATGTGAGGCGTGTGTGCATATGTGTAAGAATGTGTGTGTTCACGTGGACGTGTGAGGACACAAGCTTGTGCTGTCAGAGAGCAGCCAAGTGTATGCATGTGAGAGGTGTGTGTGTGTGTGTGCACACACACGTGTGTGTACCTGAGTGTGAGAATGTGTATGTTTGCTCATGTTTGTGCAGGCACAGACGTGTGTGTGTGTGTGTGTGTGTGTGTGTACACGTTCATGCTGGCACAGACCAGCCCACTCCCTGGGAAGGTCTCCAGGCCAGCACCCCGGGTGCACCGCCCACATACCACTGGTAGACTTCCCAGAGGCTCAGGTTCTGCACACGCTCGATCCCCTGAATCACACAGGAGGGCAGCGTCTGGCTGAAGAGCTCCTGGACTCTCTGGTACTCCTCCGAGGAAGGGCTGAGGGCGATCCTCTGTCGGCAGATGTGAGGGGACCATCAGGTGTGGAGCACCGACACCCTCCTCAGAAGTCCCATCACAGTGCCCTGCTCCAGGTGAACTCACCTGCCCGGGGAGCTCTCGAAAGCCCTGGGTTTTGGCTTCCCGACACATGGCCCCCCATCAGTGCATCCTCTCCGCTGAGCCACATCTGGCTTCCACACCCTGAGACTTCAAACCCTCCATCCCACACACACCCCCCCATGTGAGCCGCAGTTTCCAGCTTCTTCGTGGGAGGACGCTGTCTCTGTCTGTCCACACCCACCTGTGGGCACCCACACCTCCTCTGCTCTCGCCAACTGACCATCCACGCACTCTACATGCAGCCCCATGCCCCAGAGCAGAACTGGGCCCCAGAGCAGAACTGGGTCATACAAGCTTGCCGTTGGCTAATGTCTCGAAAGCAGACTGCAAGGTCTGTCTTCTGGGTAGACTTTCAATTAGACCAGGTGCACCACCCAGGGACTCGGTTCCTACCTTAAATCCCAGGTCCGGCAGGGCAGAAGGAGACAGGTCCCAGTGGTTGGGGATGTTCCTGGGGTCTTTCAGGCTGGTGTTGCTGCCAAATGCAAACACAAAGCACTGACATTCTGTTCGCAGATTTACACGATCTGCGGCAGGGTCTCTGCTGGGCGACCCTCTGGACTTGGTGCCACTGAAGAACTGGCACAAGGCGAAGCGCATCCGACAACACTCCCACGTGAGAACCCTCTCGCCTGGGCCTGTGTAGCCAACACCACACACAAGCAGGGAGAGACCCGATTCTCCTCCACACCCCAAGTGCTCACCAGGGCCAGGCGTGTGACTGAAACAGCACATGGTCCATGAACCTCGCCCACACTCCTGACAAGCAGAGCATGCTGGGAACCTTAACCAGCACCCCACAGAGATCTAACAGACACAGCGCACTCACTCAAACGTCACAGTGACATCAAACTCACGGGGCACCAGAAACTCGATTTGAGCTGGCGAGACACTATTCATGGTCTGTGGTTAGTCTTTTAATGTTACTACACGTTTTTTTTTAATGAGAAAAATATGCATTTAGAATTAGCCAGCTGGACTCCGTTTAGATGATCCCAGTTTTGTTGGCAACATCCAAAGCATCACAGTCAGGAGCAAGTCGATACACAGGCCTTCTTCTCTCCATCAGGCCTAATCAAAGTGTGACCTTGGCCACATCAATGTCACAGAGCTTCTTTACAGCTTGTATAATTTGGTGCTTGTTGGCCTTGACACCCACAATGAACACAAGTGTGTTGTTATCTTCTATCTTCTTCATGGCAGACTCAGTGGTCAGGGGCAACTCGATGATGGCATAGTGGTCAAGCTGGCTTCTCCTGGGGGTGCTCTTCCAGGGGTGTTTGGGCTGCCTTCAGAGTCTCAGCGTCTTAGGCCGCTGGAAGGTGGGTGACGTGCGGATCTTCTTTTTTTTTTGGCTGTGGACGCCCTTCAGGACGCCTTCTTGGCCTTTAATGCCTTTGCTTTGGCTTCAGTTTTGGAAGGGACAGGGGCTTCCTTCCTCACTTTTAGTGCCATCTTTGTAGAAAAGGCTACACATATTTTTATGCCAGAAATATGAATACATTGAATTACAGAGGGTTACATAATGCGATGGGGCGTGTCTGACGGGACAGCACCCAACAACAACAACACAATGCAAGCACACCACCTTGTCTTTCTGCAAGCACAGAATAAAACCTCAGGTCTCGAAGGCTTAGAATAAAGATGCTATGACCCCAATCACTCGCATCCTGGGTGGAGATTCCGTTCTTCCCGTGACAGAACTGCCCTGTCTCTGCCGGCAGGAGGCACGCACCCCTCTCCTAATGCCAGGGAGAGAAGTGACTCCACAATTAGCAGGTGAGGCGGGGGAGGGAAAAGAAATGAGAACAATGAGTTCATCAACGCTATCATAATTACACTAATCAATGGCAATTAACGTTGAAAAAGAGTGTGGATAAGCAATTGAATAAAAACCATCATAATTTGTGAACTTTCCTTTGACTAAAGCAGTAACTGGCTAAGCAAGGAAGCAGAGCCCTTCGGAGACGAGTGGACCAGTCTCGCCGGCGGCTGGGAAATCATCTCAACACACACCGGCTCCAAGGCTGCACATCTTCTGGGAGAGACCACTCACCATCCCGCCCACAGTGGCAAGGTGATCTGAACCAATGACCTCCCATATACCAGCCCAACACAACTGCCTGTGCCACCAGGGTTTCTCCTGCGAGTGCGTGAATCCCTGAAGCTGAGAAGGGCTGGACAGAGGGAAACTGGACAGCAGGGAGGACTGCCTGGCTGCTGCTGGTGCCGTGAGTCAGCTACAGCTCACAGGAAACCCGGTGAAGGCACTACTGTATGTCAGCATGTCTCCGAGCCTAGCGTCACCTGACTGTCCATGTGCTGTTCATCGTGACCTCTTCGCTTTTATTCATGGTTAACAGTCACACAAAGCAACTGAAAATACTTGGGTCAGGTGCACCTTAGCCTTTACAGTGACGTCTTTGCTCTTAAGCACTCTCAAGAGGTCCGTGACAGATTTCCCCGATGCAATACATCGTGTGATTTCTCCACTGCTGCTTCCACAGGTGTTGATTGTGGATCCAAGTAAAAATCATTGGCAATGTCAAACTTTTCTCCATCAATCAAGATGTTGCCTACTGGTCCAGGACTGAGGAGTTTTGCTCTCTTGGCACTGTGTAAGCCACACTGAAGGCTGAAGTCTGTGACCTTCTTCCGTAAGTGCTTCAAATCTTCCTTTTCTACAAGAAAAGTGTGTCGTCTGCATAACGTAAGCTGATGAGTCTTCCTCCAATCCCAATACCAGATTGTTCTTTTAGTGCAGCTTCTCCAGTAATTTGCTCAGCCTACACTGAGTAAGTATGGAGAGAGGTTACAAATCTGACACACACCTTTCTTGAATTTAAACCATGCAGTGTTCCCGTGTTCTGTTTGAGCGACCCCTTCCCCATCTATCCATAAGCTTCAATTAATGCTCTGGAATTGTTATTTTCATCGATGTCATCCATAATCGTGATCCACACAGGTGTATGCCTTTGCGTAGTTAATGAAAGACAAGTAAATCTCTCAGGTAGTCGTTGCTTTCAGCAAAGATCCGGCTGACACCAGTAACGCTCATTCCACAGCCTCTTCTGAATCCAATGTGCATTTCCGGCAGTTCGCTGTTGAAGTACTCTTCCAGTTTTACAAACAATCTTCGGCAAGGTTTTATTTGTGATATTAATGATATTGTTTAATAATTTCATTACACTGGCTCACTTTTTTAGAAAAAGGGAACAAATATGAATCTCTTCCAATCAGCTGTCTGTAGGAAGCCATCCTGAGTAGATCTTAGCTTTGCTAGATCTTAGCTTTGCTACAGGTAATACTTCTGACATGCAGCCCTACCCAGTCCATCTCTGGTTATGCCTACCTCTTTACCTGTAAATCAACACCTTGGGGCATGCCCCTCCCTCTCTATTGTAAACTGATAGCCTAGGGCTGGGTTCTCTGGCCATCCGCCTATTTATTGCAGAATTCATCGAATAAACTTTGAGGCTTGATCAGAGAACTTTGACTTGCCTTGTCTCTCGTGTCCCTGTCCCTCTCCCCGTCTCAATCCGCAGAGACCGGTGAACCCGCTGGCCGGTTTCAGCTGTCCATGTAGGTGTGCCTTCCAAATTTCTTGACGTAACGAGTGACTATATCTAGGGCTGTCATCTATTTGCTGAAATACTTAAACTGACATTCCATAAATTGCTGGGGCCTTACTTTTTTGGCCAAGGCCTTCAGTGTAGCTTGAACTTCCATCACCACCACTGATTCACGAGCAAATGCTATTCACTTCATGAAAGGGCTGTGTTGGCCAATTCATTTTGATACAATGACTCTGAACACACTGTCCACATCTTCTGATACTTCCTGCATCATTCAATATTTTGTCCAAAAAATCTCCCCGTGTTGCAAGTCGAGGCTTAAACCTGTTCTTCAATTCTGTGAGCCTAAGACATACGGAGCACACTCTTCTGGTTTTCTAACTGCTGCTTCACACATTTTCTTATACTTTTCTTACGTTTTCTGGGAGGGGAGGCTTTGAAGTCTTCTGTTCAAGCTCCCTTATTTCACCATTTTACTTTAGCTTTTCTCTACATTGAAGAGTAAGCTCCAGGGTCTCTCTAACATCTACTTTGGTCTTTTCTTTCTCTCCTGTCTTCTTTTTAAATGACCTCCTGGCCTTGTTGTGCCTGCTACCGAGACAGCACACAAGCTCCTGTGGTCTAGTGCTAAGATGCTGTGCTGTGATCCCTAAAGTGCACGGTTTGAATCCACCAGCCACTCTATGGGGCAAAGATGGGTCGTTCCTCCCGTGTAGTTTACTATCTCTGAAAAACCACTGAAGGGTCAGCTATGGGGTGGTTCCAGCCCGAGGGTACACAACAACATACACAAACACACAGAGCAAGCTTCTTTGGTTTGGTTGCACAAGAGAACCCAGGATGCCCAAGCACAGGGGGACAAAACACTCCCAGTGCTGAAACCCTCACTGACTGTGGACGGGACCTCTGTGGTCCATGCACTTCTCACTGACTGCGGATGGGACCTCTATGGTCCATGCACTTGTCACTGGCTAAGGAAGGGACGGACCTCTGTGGTCCACACACTTGATACCGGCTGTGGAAGGGACCACTATGGACCAGGTGCTTCTTGCTGGCTGATTTTCCACAGATGACAATGCTTTTCCCCTGGGTCTGCTGTCTTCAGTCCGGAAGCACCATTGAGGTGTGCTCAGAATCAACATCAGACGGCTTCTGCTGATGGCTAAAGCTGTGTAAGAGGTTTACGATCTTGCCCACACAGCAAAGTCTGCCTTCCCACATGGAAGGCGAGAATGGACTACCAAGGCCCCCACTCACTAAGTTTGACAGCCAGTCAGCCCCTCCCCTGCCTAGCAAGGCTGAGGTCAGCATCATGGCAGCAGGTGGAACACGGCCCACCTGTGTCGAGCACGGCCCACCCATGTCGAGCACGGCCCACCCGTGTCGAGCACGGCCCACCCGCGTTGAGCACGGCCCACCGGCACGTGTAAAAGAGCAGGTACCTCACACAGGACATACCAGGCTCGTTTCGTCTTCACATCCTGTGGGGACACGTACTTGGGTCGACGGCAGACCTTTCTGACCCTGCCGTGGCTAAGTTTCTTCTGAGTAAAGGCTGCAGTAGGGAAACAGCTACTTAAAAATAGGTCTACGCACACAGGAAAAATATTTTATAAACACAATTAAGTGGGTTGGCAAACTAACATAAACGTGAAAAGCTCAGAATTACGTCTGTTAAAAATAAGTCAGTTATCCACAGTTCAAATATTCATAACGCAAATAGGTACCCTTGGGAGACTGGATCTAATGAATAGATGAATGATTGGTAATTGGCATATCAATTATACATGAGTGCTTTTAAATTGTTCCTTTGGATCCTGTTTAGACTATTATTCTGCTAAGCAGTTTTTCCCAGCTTGGACAGAAAATCCAGCCCAGCCTGAGGCCCAATTACCACATCTGGAGCTGGTGGGTTCAGAGCGAGATGGAGCGGGACATCTAGTGAGCAGGGGTCTCGGCTCTCTGAACTCGCCACGCTCTGACTAAACACAGCCTCTGCCCCAGACGCTCACGTTCACTCTAGAAAGGGTGACGAGCCTCGCCAAGGGTGAGGAGCTACAGCCACGTGGAAACCAGTCAAGTCTGACTTCACTTAATTTTCATCTTAAAATATAGTCTTCACATAAGCTGTGATGAGCTCTGAGATTTATCCAACACTTGAGCACAAGAGTGTGGTGGCCCAGATGCAAAGCGGGAATGCCACAGGGTACCACCGTGTTCTCACCGGGAGCCCAGAGGCCAGGCTCCAAGGCCTCCCCCAGGGCCCCTGACCTGTCATTCTCATTCCCATCTGATTAGCAGACCTGAGTGGGTTACACGGGCTGCTGAATTACACAGTGAGGCATCGCAAACTGCTTTCACTGGTCTCATTATAAGCTATTCAGCCTGTGCAGAGAGGTTGACTGGACGCAAGATCCCTCCTCAGATGGGTGCTAGGAGGTCTTGGCCCTTATCTGCCCTTTAAGACGATGCCAGGACCAGGTGCATCTGGTCAACTCCCACCCACATGGCCGGTGTATGTCAAAGCTCAACTGTGCCCCACGGGGTCCCCACAGCGGGTGTTCTGGAAGTAAACACAAGGTCTTCTGAGGTCTACTCCTGGTGGACTTGAACCTGTAACTCTTCCACTGAGCAGCCGACCGAGAGCATTCACAGTCAAGTCCTCACCTGTCTGTGCCGCCCAGGGCTCCCAGGTGCAGGCAGGCCAGAAATACCTTTGAAATCTAACTCGTAGCTGTGCCTCCCAGCTGTGAACTTCAGAGTAGATGCCTGGGCGTCAGAGCCAGGTGCGCAGTATGCCAGGTAGGCCTTCTCCAACTCGGGGCTGCCGACTGTAGCCACAGGGTGCTCTGTGCCCTGGAAGGAGAGGTGGAGTGTGCAAGAGGGCAGGAAGGGGGGGAGGGGGAGAGGAAGCAAAAGGGGAGGAAAGGGGGAAGAACGGGAGTGAGAGGAGGAGGAGGAGGGTGAGAAAGAGGAGGTGGTGGTGGCAGCAATGTGCCAACTGGGACAGCGATACCACATTTCAGACGCCCCACAGGGCCACTCATGGCAGCAGGTAGGGGAGGGGCACAGAGGGAGAAGCACAGGGCAGACGTCCACCAGGTGCCACCTGCAAAGTGCCCTAGAAAGGTGGAAGCCAAAGGTCAGCAGGACAGCAGCAATGGAGCTGAGGAAGGGACCATCCAGCAACAGAGTAGAACCTGCACTGAAGGCCTTGTCACTCAGTGCGGCCTCCCTGAGACAATGGAGGCAAGGCCAAGTCCACAGGCACGGAACGTCATGTCACCCACTGGGGCCTCCCTGAGACATCGAAGGCAAGGAAGGCCAAGTCAACAGACACTGAAGGCCTTGTCACCAAGTGGGGCCGCCCTGACACATCGGAGACAAGGTCAAGTCCAGGCACTGAACACCATGTCACTAAGAGAGGAGGCAAGGCCAAGTCCACAGGCACTGAAGGCCATGCCACCCACTGGGGCCTCCTGAGACACTGGAGGCAAGGTCAAGTCCACAGGGGGACAGAAGCCTGGCAAGAGAAGGGAAGAAAGGCCACAAGGGACAGAGTGACCAAGGAACAAGAGACGTGTGTGCACACACCTGTCCAGGGACATGTGACTCTCTTCTGTCCACCCAGAGAGCATATCAGGGACCACGATGTGGAAGGCCCAAATGGTCCACGACAGAAAATGTGGGGAGCACCCCACGGGGTGAAAGATGACTGTCATCTCAGAAAAGCGAAGTGATATGCAAAGCAGCCCCTCTGAACTACAATAAGACGTCCTGCGACGTTTGCGAACACAAACCCCAGGGCCCAAGGAGGGGGTGGCGGCACCGCTGGACATGGCTGATGGTTCTAGAAGCTGCGGTGAGGGGCTGCCCTTCTCGGTCCTCCCCGGTCCAGACACACTACTGTCCCCGGCGCCGGGCTCAGGACATGACGGCGAATAAGACACAAAGCCCTGCCCTCCTGTAGCGTCCGTCACAGCCCGGTCAGAGGCATTTATTCTGGGTGCAGCGAAGCCCATGCCACCAACACTCATACAGAGCTTCCTACAGCCTGAGGGGACCACCTCTCTGACACACCCTCCATCTCGGAAAAGATGACCCTGTACCTGGTGACCCCAATACTGGTATCTCTATGTGGGGTTCCGTGCAATCTGATCCCCCACCAACCACTCCAGAGTCCCAGCCAGCCCGTTGTGACGGTGCCCACCCCCTCACTGCGACCCCACGTGTCTCAAGAGAACAGTGTTGGCCACCAGGCTCTCACGGGCTGTGATCTTGCTGGTGGTTTAGTGGTAAGGAAATGTGCTGTCAACACAAAGGCTTGTGGTTCAAATCCACCAGCTTCTCCGTGGGAGAAGAACAGGCAGTCTCCTCCTATGTGATTTCCTGCCTCTGAAAACCTGCCGGAGGGCCAGCTAAGGGTCAGTTTACACTCGACGGCACACAACAACAACAGTCTTGCTGAAAGAGCTCTGGTGTCCTCGTCCGTGAGGAGAGTTGAACTCTGGTGGCCCAAATCCACCAGCAGCTCTTGGTAGAATGGTGAGTAAACTCCTGTGTGATTTGCAGCTTCCCAACACCTGCTGGAGGCCCTGAGATCCACCAGTCCCGCCCGACGACCAGCACAGTGCATCTTACTCAGAGGAGACTTGGTGTCACGTTATCCAGGCTAACAGTCAGCACTTCAAACCCAGCAGCTGCCCAACCAGTGAAAGATTTACCCTCAGAAATCCCATGGTGCGTCACTATCGCTGGGAACTGACTAGACAGGGGTGGGCGTTGGGGTTAATCACAGACGCAGACCTCCAAGCCTTCCGTCTGTGTCACCGCTGGGTAAACAAGAATCCAATTCAGGATCAGCCATCACATGCAAATGATGTGCACCGCTCACGGACCATTGAAATCCATCTCTGACGTGTGTCAATTTACGTATACTCGCCCAGCTTGGGAAAGGTCTCCACCTTACGTCACAGAGCCTCGCACACCCATGGGCACGCACAGGTGTGCCCTTGCAGTTACCTGGTCACCAAGAGAAGCGTCTTCCACCCACAGGTCACACACCAGCGAGGAGCAAGGCCACGCGTGACCAACAGGCATCCAGCTCGCAGAAGCCAATCGTTACACGGTGATGAACCACCACCCAGATAAACACGAGCTGGTGAGTTCTGCCACACGCGTCCCGGGGGCCCACAGAGCACTGGCCTCTGAGGGTCTGCTGAGAACCCAGCACAGTCCTCGGGCAGTGTCAGGACAGCAGCCGTCCTCTTAAATCACTCACCTGTTTTCCGTACTCCTGCCAGCCGCTTTGGTCAGTCCAGTACCACACCCAGTCAGTGGTGAGGATGAAGTACGGTGGCTTGGTGACCGAGGAGGCGGTGGAGAGCCGGCGAACCGGACTGGTGCCAAGCATCATGGTGCCAAAGTCAAGGTGATCGACGAGATTGCCCAACCTGGCGTAGCTGATCCTGGAAAGGAGAGGGGGAAACCCAAGATGAAGACACAGCCTGCCGGGGAACATGCACCCAGAGCCTTCTAGAACCAAGCCAGGCCCTCGCCTTCCACAGACCCTTCTAGAACACGCATCCAGCCCTCAGCTTCCACGAGCCCTTCTAGAACAGGCGCCCAGGCTCAGGCTCCCACAGACACTTCCAGAGCGTGCACTCAGCCCACGGCTTCCCCGGGACCTTCGAGAACAGACCCAGGCCCTCGACATCCTTAGGGCTTTGGAGAGCGTGTACCCTCGACATCCCTGGAGCCTCCCAGCGGGTGAGCTGCTTCCGGGCCATCTGGAAAGTGTGGCTGCGGACGTCACCATCACAGGCACACGGGGTTGACTGCGATCTGGGGTCAAGGGGTGCCCTGCACCTCGCCTTCACTATGTGAATGGAGGGGGAGCTGGCAGCCTGTCCGTCAGCTGCTCTGCTGACCCCCACTCAGCACCTCCCTGTCAGCTCGGATCCGTCAGAGGCTCCACAGCAGGAACACAGGCTGTCCCCTCCCATGTCGTTTACAGCCTCCGAAAACCTGCTGGTGCCTCAGGGGGCAGCTCTGGCTCACAGACGAGGAGACTGAGAGGCAGTCGGGGTAAGGTCAGGACAACAGGGCCGTCTGCAGGTCCTGCTGCCAGGTGCCACCTAGTTCACCCCAAAAATGCCTTCTGTCAGGGAGCTCTGGTGGTCCAGTGGCAAAAAGCTGCACTGCAATTCCAGAGGTATGTGGTTTAAATCCACCAGATGCTCTGCTGGAGGAGGGGCAATATCCTCCTGTACCAGTCAGATCCAATTTGATGGTACACACACACACAAAATCCTTCTGTGACAAAATGCAGAGATAGCAGTGGCTCGATGTTCTTTACTGAGAAATGCACATCTGAAACTTTCACCCAAATGTCAAATTTCTTCTAAATCCTCAACACCACGAAAATGCTCCGCTGACCCATCTGGAGGTGACAATGACCAGAGTCCACGTACGCTTAGTGTCTGCTCCGAGTCGGCCCTGCACTGAGCCCTGTTCTGTATTCACGGTATGGGTTTGAACCACTGACACTTCGGTTTACAGGACAACATGTAACCCACTACCGTACGGGCGCTCCCTCCTTTCCGGCTGCTACATCACCTACAGAATAAAGTGCGGGTATGAAGCCAGAGGTAAGAGGGTGCAAAAGCCAGCAGACGCCCAATAATGCTGCCACGGAGAAACCACCAGCTGCAAGGGGCACCAACGGGAAGGTCTAGGGGTTCACAAGACTTCTCTGCAGAGAGCCAGGATCTGAAAGGCTGCCCGGGAAGGACAGCACAGGACACCGCCCAGGAAGGAAGTCGGCCCGCCGCTGTGTTCACCCTGCTGCAGGGAAATTCTCCTTCCTGACTGCTCGTACAACTCAAGGCCTGCCTCACGCACCTGTCAGGCAGACTCACACTTCCATCAGCAGAGAAACTAAGGCACCACAGGCTGGGGTTTCATCTTCAAGAAGATTTAGGAGGAAAACACCAAACCTTTCCAGGCGATTCACCTTCCACACCCTCCACTCGGGTCTTGAAAGAGCTGACACAACTAAACACACCCAGGGACCATGAGCGCCCAATCAAGTCATCTCAAGCCCACACGCAGAAACAAAGACAGACGGGACGGACAGAAGCCAGCAGAAGCAGTCAGACCACCACCATCCACAGCCGACGACCAGTTAAGCAGCATTCATACAAAGGGTTTAAAAATTAAACAGAACGGCAAAGGTCAAATGGGAAAGGTCAAGGTTAACCAAGTACATTTGAAGACAGCCTCTCGGAACGTTTCCGTCAACTAACACCTGAACTTACAATCAGAGAAGACGGGACAGATCACCTTGGAGTCAGGGTGGAACTAGTGAGCTGGGAGGCAGTGGGGAAGGAATTCCGAGAAACAGAGGTGAATCAGGGTGAAGTGAGGACTTGGCAATGTCTAAGCCAAGTTCAGAAGAAACACTGACTCGGTGGCAACTAACAGTAGAAACAACCCAAAACCTAACCTTGAATCCTACCCTAACCCTTAAACCTGGACCTGAAAGCAGATGTGCAGTGCATAAGCTAAACAACTCTGCTGACATCCACCTCGATTTCTTTCTTTCTCCTGTTTTTGCTTTCTTCATGGATGATATCCTTGATATCATCCCGCAACTCATCTGGTCTTCAAACACTGGCGTTCAATGCCTCAAATCTATTCTTTTTTGGTTTCCCCCCCATGTCTGCCAGTTAATGTGCCCATGTCATACACAAGGTTTAAAGGGTGGCACATGTCATATAAAAGCATGAACACCATAGGGAGCTCTGGTGGCCTAGTGGCAAGAAGCTGAGCTGCAATCCCAAAGGCATGCGGTTTGAATTCACCAGAATCTCCACTGAAGAAGGAGAGGCAATCTCCTCCTGTGCCAGTTAGATCTGACAAGATGGGAAGACGGGGAGGGGAGGGGAAGAAAAGAGAGAGAAAGAGAGAAAGAAAGAAGAGAGAAAGGATAGAGAAAGAAAGAAAAGATGGGAGGGAGGAAGGAAGGAGAGAAGAGGGAGGGAAGGAGGAAGGATTAACACACAATCACCATGCTTATGAACCGGAAGATGATCTTGAAATTCAAATGGAACTGATTGAAGATGATACCCTGGTTCCTACGGACTTATGTTTACTTTCTTTGGCCTCAACTTCCACTTTTTTTTCCTTTAAATTTTTTTTTCAATTTCCACTTTTGAGTAACTGACTCTAAATTGAAGAGACTGAAGAAGATTGCACTGAAGTGTCGAGAAGCAAAAGGGAAACATGGAAGTAAAAGAGCTGAACAAACGTCAAAGGGCAGCTCGGGAGGACAAAGCAGGTATTACAGCGGAATGTGCAGAGAGCTGGAGTTGGAGAATAAGAAGGGAAGAATTCACTCTGCATTTCTCAGGCCGAGAGAACTGAAAAACAAATTTAAGTCTCATGTCACAATATTGAAAGATGCTATAAGCAGTGTACTGAAAGTCCCAGAAAGCATCAAAAGATGGAGGGAATAGAGAGTCACTGTAGAAGAATTGAGTGACACTGAAAACCTTCAGGAAGTACCATATGAACAGGAGCCAATGGTAATGAAGGAGGCAGGAGAAGCTGCACTGAAGGCACTGGAGAAAAATAAGGCCCCAAGAATCCATGGGACAATGGCTTGTTTCAATTAACAGTAGCAGCCTTGGATGCGCTCACCAGTCTATGCCAGGAAATTCAGAGGACGACTGTTTGGCCGACGGATTGAAAGAGGTCTGTATTTGTTTGCATTCCCAAGAAAAGTGACCTAACTGAACGTGGAAATCATCAAACCATATCATTAATATCACATGCAAGCGAAATATTGCTGAAGAACATTAAAAAACAGCTAGAACAATACATAGATAAGAACAGCCTGCACTGCAATCCCAGAGGAACATGGTTCGAATCCACCAGATGCTCTGCCGGAGAAGGAGGCGCAATCTCCTCCTGTACCAGTCAGATCTGATTTGACGGTACACGCACACAAAATAATAAAAAATAATAATAAAAAAAAAAAAAGAACAGCCAGAAGTTCAAGCAGGATTTAAAGAGGCCATGGGATCTCAGCTGAAAGTAAGGAAAACCAGAAGGTGGTCTATTTGTGCTTTATTCACTATGCAAAGGCATTTGACTGTGTGGATCATGACACGTTGTGGCTGACATTGAGAAGAATGGGAATGGCAGAGCACTTGACTGTGCTCAGGAGGAACCTCTACCTGGAGCAGGAGGCTGTTGTGTGAACAGAGGAGGGGAGCACTGCATGGTTTAAAATTGAGAAGGGACTGTGTCAGGGTTGTGTTATCTCTCCACTACCTATTCCATCTGTATGCTGAGCAAATTATCTGAGAAGCTGGACTCTATGAAAAGGAGTGTGACATCAAAATTCGAGGGAGACTTAATCTGCCTTAATGCAGATGATACAACCTTGCTTGCAGAAAGTGAGGAGGACTTTGAAACACGTGTTGAAGATGATCAAGAAATGCATCTTTTTGGGGAGCTCTGGTGGCCTAGTGGCAAGGAGCTGCAACTACAATCCCAGAGGCGCATGGTTCGAATCCACCAGATGCTCTGCCGGGGAAGGAGGGACAATCTCCTCCTGTACCAGCCAGATCTGATTTGACGGTACACGCACAAAAATAATAAAATTTAAAAAAAGAAATGCATCTTTTGGACATAGATTCTTACCACTGGACTGGTAGGCAGCATTATGATGGTTGAAGAGGAGACTGAAACTGTCAACATCTTGTTCGGATCCACAGTTAAAACCCTTGGTACCGGGTACCAGCAGTCAGGAAATAAGGAGGCACAGTGCAGTGGGAAAATCTGCAGTTAGGGACCTCTCCAAATTACTGAGGAGTAATGATGTCCGTTTGAAGACAGGTGCATCTGATTCAGACCATAGTCTTTCCGATTACTAGCTGTGCATCTGAGAGCTGGACAATGAATAAGGATGACAGGTAAAGAATTGACGCCTTTGAGGTGGGGTGTTGGAGAAGAGCACTGAACATCCCATGGACAGCCAAGAGAACAAACCACTGTGTCTTGCTGGAGTGCTCTTTGGAGGCAAGAATGATGAGACTCTGCCTCTCATACTTGGGCGTGTTGCTAGGAGGGACTATTCCTTGGAAAAGGACAAGATGCTGGGAAGGGTGGAGGGTCGGCCAAGGAGAGGAAGAGGCTCAGCCAGGTGGACTGACACGGTGACTGCTGCAATGGGCTCTCATGTGTCAGGAAGTGGTGGGGGGGCACATCTTAGAACAGGGTTCAGACCTTTTATTCATAGGGTCACTATGAGTTGTACTCAAGCTGACAGCACCTAACAACAACAACAACAAACTAGACAAGTGTTGCTTGTGTAGATACAGGGCACCTGAGTTCCTGGATCACCACTTGTGCTGGCATGTCCCAGGTCAGGGCCTGATCTGGGTGCCTGGTGCATTTTCCCCACTTACTTCTCACCATCACATGACACAGTGCAGCATGTGGGGAACTGGGACAGGGGGTGAGTCTTCTACTCCAGTGTACCCGGTAAGTTTGAATGGGCCTAGCTGGCATGCGGAGTGCAAGGCTCTTTCACTGTTAAACAGAATTTGAACAGGTTTTTATTATCCTGGGCTTTATTAAAACGCAGTGACCAGGCATTAGTATATTGTAAAGCAATGGAAGGCTTTGGTAAACCTAAAACAGCAGGATCTGATGGGCCTGTTGCTAAGAAGCTGCACCGCAATCCTGAAGGCTTCAAGCTTGAATCTGCCGCTTCCGGGGAGAAGGATGGGCAGTCTCCTCTCATGGGATTAACTGCCTGAGGGTCATCTACGGGTCAGTTCCAAGTGACAGTGCACGACAATAATGCAGCCACGAAGGCTAGAGTGTTCCTTACCACACTCTCACTCAGACACACCACAAAGGCACTCACATGACACGGGTTCTTATCAATATACGCTGATAAGGTACCATCGACCTTTTCTGACCACAATACAACACACTGGAAATTAAATAAACTCATCTGAACTGTGTTTACAAATAATCTATACATTATTTACTGCCTATAATTTAAAATTGGTTCTTTTAAAAAGAAAAATAAGTGAATTAGTAAACTTCTGTAAGGATGATGAAGATGAGAGGGACAGAAGCCACAGTAAATGTGGTTTGGTTTTTCAAAAGAAAAAAAAAGGACCCTCCACCCCCCCACCCCCAAAAAAGAGTCCTAAAAGGGATATAAAGGCAACTGTATAAAACGGAATTTGAAAGTAAATAAAGTCCCACAGAAATACAAATTTATCAACACTGACTCAAGAAAAACTAGTCAATTCAAATGGGCCTATGAAAATTACAGGAAAACTCAATTTTTTCAAATCTTGCCAGGAATTAGACATTGTAGTAAATCAGGTTACACACTGCAGCCTTCATTACGGATCGCATCTTAATGTCAAGGAAACAAAGATCCTCACCGCTGACCTGACGGGCTCATCTCACGATGCTGTGCAGTCGAGCATGACTCACAGCGACCCTGTGAACCAAAGGCCTGAAGCCTTTCTGTAACTATCATTTGTCAAAGTTCATAGTTTCCAGAGGCCTGTTGTTTAGGACGTGGACGCTGCTCCTGCTTCCAAACGGATGGAGAAAAAGGCTGAGACTATCAACTACTTCAAAGCGTACTTGGATCCACAACCAACCCCCCGGCACGAGCAGTCAGGTCAGGAGAGGAAGTGCGCTGGGGAAGTCTGCAGGGACTCTCCAAACTATCATGGAGCAACGATGTCGGCTTGAGGCCTAGCTGCAACGATTCAGCCTTTGTCTTTTCAGTCACTGCTGTGCCTCAGAGAGCCGGCCAGTGACTAAGGACGACAGAAGAACTGATGCGTTTGGGCCGTGGTGTGGAAGAGTACTGAATACCCTACGGACTGTCAAGAGCCCAAGCAGATACATCTGGGAGAAGGCGCAGCCGAGTGCTGCTTGGAGGCAAAGATGACAAAGCTTTGTCTCCCTCACGATGGGAATGCTGCTCGGAGAGCCTGCTCCTGGGAGAGGAACATCATGCTTGGAAAGGCAGAGGGATGGTAAAGGAAGCCAGTGGCAGCGGGCTCGGCGGTGTCAGGGATTAGGAAGACGGCACAGCACAGGCCAGGGTGCAGACAGGCTGTACACAAGGTCATTGTGAACGCCACTTGACTGAACAGCACCCACCACCAACAACAGAGACTCAATCAGGAAAAAGATCTGTTTTCAGAGCCTATCTCTGAGGTCAGTTAGCCGTCTGTTCTTTGGTCTTATTGCCTCGATCTTCAACCGACAGCAGCCACACAGGGAGGAAGTACACATCCCAGCTGGTTTCCAAGGCTGTGGGCTTGACGGCAGCAGGACCCCAGGCCTTTCTCCTGCAGGGCAGCTGAGGAGTGAACTACTGTGTAGCTGGGGCCTCCGCTCCACGTGCACGGGGTGTGCTTGTGAGAGCGATGGTCAGAGGGGAGTGTGGGTGTGTGTATGAGGGAAAGATGAGAGGTGAGAAGTCAGAGCATGAAGTGAACACACAGGGGTGTACACCTCCGTGGAAACGTGGGTGTGAGGTGCATGCACTATGTGGGTGCCCGTGTCATACATCTGTTGTGTCTGAGGATAAGGGGGGATGCATGTGGTGTAGACATGGGTCACATGCATGTGCTTACACTGTACGTGCGTATGATATGTCTACGTGGGACGTGTGTGTGGTGTATACATGGGAGGAGGAGGCATGGGACGTGTGTGTACACGGCTTGTGTGTGGTGTATACATGTTAGGAGGAGGCATGAGACGTGTGTGTACACGGCTTGTGTGTGGTGTATACATGGGAGGAGGAGGCATGGGACGTGTGTGTACACAGCTTGTGTGTGGTGTATACATGTTAGGAGGAGGTGTGAGACGTGTGTGTACACGGCTTGTGTGTGGTGTATACAAGTTAGGAGGAGGCGTGAGACGTGTGTGTACACGGCTTGTGTGTGGTGTATACATG